GGTTCAATTTGTTAACATGTATTTACGTTCATTAGACTTAATAGTATACCCAGTCAGTATCACGCACTTTTCCAAGGCATCTGCTGAATCTTCCTTATTTGATTACAACCTCGATTCTCTTTTCATGAACAGACCGTGACCGTCGTTTTCCATTAAGCTGCTTATATATTTACATGCCGGACTAATTCGATACGTGTGTTCTAAAACGGGCCAATAAATAGTTACAGCAACAAGGGATTTAATGAGTGCCCCAGGGAGAAATGTTTTCATTTAATACATATGAAGTGGCATTATACATTCCAAATGAAGTCATATGTTTTTTTTTCATAAATGACAAAATTTGCTATTTGTTTCCTTTGACATCCACCGCTTGCATGCAACTGATCTGATTTCATTTCTCGACTGGTGGTATTTACTGCAGGGCAAGTCTCGATTGCTTGTGGAGCTCCTGTGCGATACCAAGATTTATTGAACGGGCTCTATCCCGAATGGAGTTGACTAGTTCAAAATTGCGTCTTGCGTCTTCGGTTTCTTCCGATATTTCATTTAAAGGATCTCATCTCAAAAAGCGACAAATTATTTTGATCGTTGTGTTCGTGGGTTTGATTTCAGCCTCTGGAGGTTTTCTTCTTGGCTATTTATTGAAAGCAAACAAGGCCAACAACGAAGACGGCTCGGCAGCGACCAGCAGCAATGATCAACGCAGTCGTTACCAATTCAACGTCACCAAAGCCTTTAACCAGTTTGAAGAGGACGTCAACACATCAGAGTTGAGAGAAAACTTGAGGTGAGTTGACAGTTTCGTAATTTTTGATGATATTTATGGTAATTACATTTAAAAAACCAATATTATTAACGATGAATTGTTCGCTATACGTTGGCGGCTCCGTTTGTCGGTTTCATTTGTCTGAGCTGGGCAGACATTACAGGAAGGAATTCTGCCTTGATTGGTTCCCCTCTTTTAAATTGCTTTTTTGTTTTTTTTTCTTAATTAAAGAATCATTACAAAACGTAGCCTGGGGAAAAAGAGAGATTTTTTTGTCGGTTTAAAGTGGAATATAGGTAAAAGAATAGCACAACTACTATGAAACCTACGAAGCTATGAAAATCTCGAAATTTGAAACGATTATCAGTGAAATGACTTCGTTTTTCTACGGTGGAAAGAGACACATTAAACAGAAAAGATATTCTGGCTGGCTTGGTTCCAACCTTGGCTTGTTTATTTTGTTTTCTAAATTTTAGAATCATTATAACATGTAGCCTGGAAGAAAGGGAGAAAATATGCTAGTGCCTCTTTTTTTCGAAAGAAATAAAATACGAATTATCCGTCATAGACTCGTCATAGGGAAAAAACTTAAAAGCCTTAATCATGGCTGCGAAACAGTTGTCAGCGAAATGAAGTTTTTTTCCTCAGTTTCCTGTTCCCTAGTCACAAATACTACGAGTACTATAGTTTCACAGAATATTGAAGGAAGTTGAAAAAAACCAGTAATTCTTTCCGGGAAGTCAATAAGGAAATATTTCGTGCATGAAAGATTGCATGGCTGACCTCACAGGCTCTTCAGCGATGCAGCTTAACTCAAACAAACAAAATTTCAAATTGATTAACTGACTGTACAAAGGAATTGACCTTTGTCACCCTGAAGTAGGACCTGGTCTTCCCACGTATCATTAAAGGCACTATTATAACCATATATGTACCGGCCCTACTGAGATGAAAGCAAAATTCGCATTTGCGAAAACTCTCACAGCTGTTAGTATAAGAAATGTTTGAGGTTTACTGACGAGAAGTAATGGGTTTATATTTATGGGGTTAAGAGGGACGCCTTTCGTTTCGTAAACGTTCTGACAGAATTCAACTCAATATAGCCCCTTTGCACGACCCTGTCACAAGGTAGAAAATTAGCCATGCTGGATCACATGTTATAAAGTGGGAAAACCATACATAAGAAGGACCTGAACCATATTAGACATTTCACGATTTTATATAAGGTAACAATGGTTTACCTGCGGTTAGTTGCACTCACGTTTGCTTGCGGTCAGTTCCACCCCGGTAAGCTTGCGGTGGCCACCCAGGTTTGCTTGCGGTTTTTTTCCATTTACGTTTGCTTGCCGTTATTTCCATCCCGGTAGCTCCATTCAGGCTTGCCTGCGGTTATTTCCACTCCGTCTAGCTTACGGTTAGTTCCACTCGGGTTTACTTGTGGTAAAGTTCCATTTTGCGGCTGGGGCTTGGGCGACAGTGTATTTTGCTTCCAGTATGTATAGTACGTGACTACCATTTTCCGCAAGTGATTGTTTCTTTATTTATTTCAAACAAACAAAAAACTAAGTGTGGAATGATATTTCTGAAGACATGGTTGACGTTTTCGCTTCCTGAAGGTAGCGAGTCCCCCAAAGGCTGAAAGTAGCGGCGCTTTTTTGTACTAAGTAATTGCGTACCTACAATCTTGGTCAGAATAAAATATGAAATAAAACCACTCCTCCCCCGAGTCAATGACGAAGTGGCACTAAACCCAAAACGTGCCATTTTTTTCCATCCTTGGAATTGGGGGAGGGGTATTCTTTATGTTTCATTTTTCAAAATTGTTCAAGATTTTAGGTAGATAATATTATCTTGCGTTACCTAATAACTGTGAAAGTCGCCTTCGGGCCATTTCTTAAACACAGTATACTGTATTATATTTAGTCTGACTTCGGCTGTTGTTGTCCCTCGATCAGATTATATTCCCAGAAGCCTCATTTAGCTGGAACCGAGAGGCAACACGAACTCGCTCAGGTACTGGCAAAAAAGTTGCGGAAATACGGGTTTGACGATGTGGAACTACCAAGTTACAAAGTGTTACTGTCGTTTCCAATAGAAGACGACCCAAACATCATATCAATCGTGGCAGAAAATGGGACAGTAGTTACAAACGTCACGCAACAGATGACGGTGAGGCTGTTTTTCAACGTCTTGAAGATTTAATACATTCCTCCCTGCAATATCTGACACTTACAAGCTCTTCCTGCCCATGAATGCTTCGGCAAGTTTTTGATACTCTTCAATGACGCTGTGTGACTGAGTATTACTTCTGCCATATAACTCAAATAAAAAGCCTATTATT